GTGCTGTTAGTGGCTCTGGGAGGGAAGGGGTTTGAGGGAGAGGCTCCAAATGTTCAGAGTAGCTTTAGGAGCCTCTCCCCACATACATCCCCAAGTCCCAAAGCAATTGGAACAGTGGGACCAATTCTATGGGCACCCAAACAGGTTACCCCCATTACCTCCATTGTTTCCAATGGGGAAACCCAGCCAGCAACACTTAAGGCAGGCAAGCAGGCAGCACCCAGCAGTCAGACTCTCCCAGAGAATCTCAGGGAAAGTGAACACTGTCTTGGGAGGTGCTTTGTCATGAGAACAAGTGGCACACTCCAGAACAAGTGGCACTGTGGCAGTGCAAGCATGCCACAGTGCCACACAGAAACCCCAAAAGACCAACAGGAACAACATTTATACAGGTCCTGCCCTTTGTAAATTGATGGTGCAACCAGAAGTCCAGGAAGGTAGCAGGTCAGGCCAGGATAGAGTTGGGTAGAGTTGACTCTCTCTCCCCGCTCCCAAGCAAGGAAGATGGTGTGCAAAGCAACACCACCAACCTTGCAGGCTGCACATGCATGCAGCAATTGGCTGAAACTGGCCTCCCCCCCCCCATTGGTCTTTTGGGGTTTATGTGGGGAGAGGCTCCCGAAGCTACCCTGAAAATATGGAGCCTCTCCCTCAAACTCCCTCCCCTTCAGCCCCCAGAGTATACCCTATGTTTTTGCCATTGACTTCAATGGCCCATAGGATATAATGGGTCTGAATTGCCGTTCGGTGGCAAAACAATTCAGATGAGAGAATCTGAATCGGCCTGCAGCAGCCCGAAAGGGGCCCTAAGTAATCAGAGTAATGCCCCCTTCTCACTTCAAAAATAAGACCACAGTGTGGAATATCCTGGTAAATCTTTCAAGGAAGACCATGACATCTGTGCCTAAAAATCCTTGCCACCAGATGAAATTTGAAATAATAAGAGACTCTGGATTACATGGCAGGATTGCCGTAATTTTCATCAAGAACCATATGATAGAGGGCCACTGCTCCTTACTCTAGAAGGCAAAGGGTTTTTCAGATCTGCAAAGTCTGAATGGCTTTGTTTTAGTTTCTAAATCTAATTTGCTTTCTTAAAGGTCACATTTACATGTTGCATACCATGCCCTCGGGGACCACATAAAATTCCCAGACACACTGATTGTCTGAATAATGATTCAGGGGTTATGGCATTGTTCTGTAAATTACATACTCATTTTAAAAAGTTCAAGTCAATTTTAGCAATCAACAAATAGGTACCAACACAGAAGCCATATTTTAAAGCACCAGAAACACAGATTGCATAGACATAAAACTGGCACATAAGTTCATACTGTTTTTAATTTATGACAGAAGACTATGATATGGGGCAATGGGACTTGCCTGAAAACATTTAAAGACCTATAAGCCAGGTAAACATTCAACCCATTGTTTTCTGACTTTGTTGGCATCTCTACTTAACATGTAATGTGTGGTTTTTATACAATGAAGCTGACAGGCAGCAGATTTAGGACTAATAAAAGAAAATACTTTTGGAATTCATAGCCACAGTATGTACTATAGTCACCGTGGTTTTTAAAAGAAAAACTCATGGAAGACAGCTATCATGGATAATACCACTAATGGAACTTAACAGAAACTCCACATTCAGGAGTAATACCCCTCTGAATGCTTGTTGGTGGGGGCCAACAATAGAGGTTTTAGCTTCTGCACCCCTCCAAGCTGCCTTTTTGGGCCATTTAGATGCAACAATAGGAAACAGGACTAGTCTAATCCAAGAGGGTTTTCCTTACATTCTTACATACATCTATGTATCAAAAAGTGACTTGTGGGCCCCAATCTGTGGTTACTTAAATCTGTGGATAAAGACCACACAGACACTAAACATATTTTCCTGCAAACTTGGGGTAGTCCTCAGGTTTGGAGAAATATCTGAAAAGTTTAAGAAAATACACTGGGGATTTAAACTCCTCCCAAATTAAAAAGGGTGGTCTCTGTGCATGTGCACAACTCTGCAGGTGTCAACTCTGAGCCCGGCTGCCATGACAGAGGACAGCAGGAGTGACTCCAGGCCCAGCTGCCACAGCAGTGGACTCCAGGAGCAGCCTGGTGCCCAGCCACTGTGGCAGCTGGGCCTGGAAATGGCAGTGAAGCTCTGGGAGCTGTTCCCTGCTTGGCTACCACAGTGGAATGCTTGGGGAGCCACTCTGGGCCCAGCTGCATGTTGGAGGACTCCAGGAGAGCCTCTGGGACCGGTCATGGTGGTGGAGGACACTGGGAGCCGCTCTGGGCTTGGAGCAGCTCCCAGGTGCCTTCGCTGTTGCTGCAGGTGGGTAATGGGGCAATTGGGAGTTGCAATTGGGAGATGGGATCCCCCCCCCCCCAGGTCTCGCAGGCTTCCTACTTGTCTAGTTTAAAAGTCAAATATCTATTTTATTTATTTGTTGAGGAACTCACTCCCCCCCAAAATTTACCCCAATATTTCAATTACTGTGACAGTTGTCTTGTCTATGGACAAAAGCCCCGCAGCAGAATGACAGCTGAGAGAAAGGAAGGGGTTTGGAGATGGTGGCTGTCAAACTCCCAATGCAGAGTGTTCAAGATCTTAGCTTTCTAATTGCTTACTACCCCGTTCCCTCCTAGTAAGTCACACCAGGCCTAAAGCTGGGAAGATTAAAGTGATAGAAGGAAAACTCTTCCTTTGGGACAAGAAGCCCCTCCCAGAGGTGGGTGAGGAAGAGAAATAAAAACTATGGACATGAGCAGGGGTCATTTCGTAGAAAAAGAGGTGCAGGAGCTCATTAGCATAACTGATTAGCAGAACTCATTTGCATATGCCACACCCCCAGACTTCATCGGAAGTTTGTCAGAAGGCAACACCCACCACTCAGGCTCCACTGGACTGTTTTGGATTGCTAACTATGGGGTGGGGGGAGACATGCAGATCTGCCCTCACAGAGGAAGGAGAGCTTGTACCTGAATAAAACTTGGTCTTAAAGGTGCCACTGGACTGTTTTGGACTGGAGGGCGGGGGGGCTCTGCAACTTACCTGGCTGCTTCTTGCTCTGACTGAGGGCTGCAGGGATCAGGGGGTGGGGCTTGTTGCATGTGCCCGCCCCCTGGACTCTTTACTGCCGGAGCTCCGCTCCTGTGCGCTCCTGCAGGAAATGACCCCTGGACATGAGGGAGAGGAGTCTCTTTCATTTTGGAAAACTCTTCAGATGCACACAAGCTGTGAAGGACAAGGCTTTCTCCTAGGGGCTCTGTCGTCCACAAGGTGGGGGACAACAGAGAAGAGTCCGAACCTGGTAATCTAAACTCTGATTTCCTGAATCTTCAAAAAAACTTGTGTAAAAATTCAACATCATTTAAGAAGTACCTAGTGTAAGGTCAGAAGACTGAGTGTTTTCACCTTTTCTTTGTTCCCTTGCTAAGTCCATGTTGCATGGGTATTCTCTCATATATTCATTCATTAAACTTTTAAATATTTTAAATCTCTAAATCTGTTCCGTGGAAAAACACCAGTTCTATTCAGTCTTGCTATCTGAAGTGTGGTACTGTGGAGGGACAGCAGAGAAGCTCTCCTCCCTGAAACATGACAGCTCTAAAGTGCAAAATTGTGATTGACTGCCCTCACACTTGCTTGTAGAAGGGCATGGGGAGGCACAACAATTAGGAAGCACCTCTGAATGGCAACACAGGTACAGAGTATTAGATGTATGACTACATCTAGCATGAGATACTCCTAAGAGTCACTGGTGGCAATTGGTGGTTACCCAGTTGGTAATTGGGTTGAAAGCAACTACGGGAACGCCCTTGAAAATTGGGGACAAAAACATCAGGATTTTAAAGGACATCCCATTTGACATAAGACAGAAGAAAAGGAATTATAAAAAACGAATCCTTTTTCTACAAACAAATGGCATCAGTTACAGATGGTTAATCCCAGAAGGTGTCATTTTCAAACTTCATGATAAAAAAGAAAAGACTGACTCTGTTCTTAAGGCACGTGATTTTCTGCGAACGCAGCTCGGGGAACCAGCTGAGGACGAGAAGGAAGAAGAAGAAAGCAAATCTGATGGCAAGTTAGGCTCGGGGTCTTCGGACAAGGACTCACCCTCTGAAAAGGGGGTGGCTGCCCCCAAAAGTTCATACAAATTGAGGATTAGAAAAGAGAAGAATAAATAGGGGCTGAAGGGGGGGTTTCTTTAAGCATTTAAATGAATAGTTAAAAGATAATTAACCTAGCATAACCAACTATGTTCATTGTTTTATTAGCTATTAAACAGAGCCAGTTTGGTGTAGTGGTGAAGTGCGTGGACTCTAATCTGGGAGAACCGGGTTTGATTCCCCACTCCTCCACTTGCACCTGGCTGGATGGCCTTGGGCAAGCTGTAGCTCTGATAAGAGCTGTTCTTGAAAAAGAGCAGTTTCTGTCAAGAGCTCTCTGAGCCCCGCCTACCTCACAGGGTGTCTGTTGTGGGGAGCGGAAGGGAAAGGAGTTTGTAAACTGCTCTGAGACACCTTTGAGTAGTGAAGGGCAGGATATAAATCCAATCTCTTCTTCTTCTTCTTCTTTTTAAAGTAACATTGAATTAAGCTGATGTATTGATCTCCTACTCTTGGGTTTTTAGTTATTAGTGGGTCTTTTTTCTTTCTCCTTAGATGTAGTTCCCCTTCCCATATTTTCAGTTGTAGTTTGTAGTTTGTAAAAAATCAATTAAAAATTCCCCTTAGGGGGGATCTTTAAAAAAAAAAAAGCATGCAGGAAAGGAGAACAGATTAATAGATTTGCGAAGGAAATTACAGGAGTAGGCACATTAAGTTTTCATTTTCTGGGCTGCCATATTTTTGTCAGAAAGTATTATTATTATTATTATCATCATTATCATTATTTAGAAGTGTTTTAGCAAAATGTTTCATCCTGATCAACAGAGAAGAAGCAAAATATTTTGCTTTTACAAGATGTATGTCCACAGGCCAAAATGAGTGAGCCTTACCTGCAGCCATAACTTGTTATTCACAGCATCCCTCCCCGTAGCAATGCACTGAAATGTAGCATTCTGGCCTGCATTGACCTCCACATCCCCAAGCCTCAAGAAATGAGGAGATTTATCTGTGCGGGAGAATGAGAAATGTTACAAGAGATGCTCACAGACAAAGCCCAAATATTTCTTTCACAAGATACCCGTTACTGCAACCTTTCGGTATACTTTTTACATGAAAGAAAATAATTGTTTCTACCCATCGTGGTCTTTCCTTTCTTTCCATGCAAACTGTACTAAAGCTTGTCATGTAAAACTGAAAAAAAAAATTATAATAAGCCAAAGCATATATAAAACCCAGGAAGGTCTAAATGCTCAGAGTGACCTATCATTACATTTCAGTCAGTGTAGCCACAGCATGAATATAGTCAGATTTAATTAGTTGTATATAGCATTATCCAGTATAAATGAGAAGGCCCTGTCAGTAAATAGTGCCTGTAGTACAAAATACAGTAACATTAAACCCACTGACAAGCCTTATTTCTTATTACTGCAGTGCCTCAAGTCAGCCAAGTCAGTCCCACAGGGCAACACTGGGCCCATCCATCAAGGCTCTCTTGCCCACCACCTTAGCTCCACCGGCCAGACTTTTGCCTTTGCTCGCCTGGCTGCCACTGATGCTGCTCCGAGATGCTGCATGTACAGCTCCCAGAAGCTGGGACACAGCCAGAGAGGGTTGCTGGAAGAGTATGAAGTCAGGTCTCAAAGCCACTGGTGAGCAGTAAAGTGAGTGAGTGAGCCCTTTTATTTTATTTTTCTGCTGAAGCATATTGTTTTTTAAAATATATATTTATTATTTTTAATTAAGTGATGTCACGCCCCACCGGTTCCCCCAGTGCCCCCCCCCCCCACTTAAAATTTTCTAGTTATGGTCCATGTAAAATTCTAGGGTTTGAGAAACGCGATGAGAGCAATTGAGGGACATACATGCTACATAGTGCTCAAACATTACTTAAATGACCTAGGAATACAGATCAAGGGAAACTATAATTCATGCTTCAACTCATGGAACAGGAGCAAAGGTATCTAGCAGTACTCAATGCCTCCTTAATATTGAACCAAACACTCACAGATCCACTGATTAACAGATGTAATACAAATGTACTTCAAGGCTATTGGTGATTAATTGAAACCAGGACCATTCTAGCTGAAGAAGGCTAAATAAGAGTACTCCACTAGCTATACTAATCAATTCATCACTGCAAGAAAGACGGAGCTGTTAGATCACAACAGGACTGGATTAATTCAGTCCAGTTAGCAAGATAAAAATTGGATGTTCATTCCCCAGTCTGTTATCATTCCATCCTCTGTTTACAGAAGGTTGTTAAGTGAAAGACTGTTGTGCATCTTCAAGCACACCCGAATAAAACTGTCTGGGCCAGTACTGCCAAGCTGGCCTTAGACTGAAGCTGGACTTGTTTCTTTGGTGAAATCATTTCCCAACCAATTGAAATGGGCAACTGGGCCTTTCTTTGGCCATTGATCAACAGACATTAGTGGGGCTTGGATGATGTCTGTGAAACCTCTTTCTAGGTAGCTGCTCATTACCTCCCCCCTAGGGTTACCAACTCTGGGTTGGGAAATTCCTGGAGATTTGGGGGCAGATCCTAGGGGGGGGGCAGAGTTTGGGAAGGGGAGGAAACTCAGCAGGGAAGTGATGCCACAGAGTCCAACCTACAAAACTGCTATTTTCTCCACAGGAATTGATCTCTGTAGTCTGGAAATAATCTGTAATCCCAGGAGAACTCCAGCTCACACCTGGGATTGACAACTTTATCCCAGGACTTCTCTTAGGAAGTTCCACAGTGTTTCTTCCTATGACCCTCACCCCAATCAATACTACATAAATATGAGGTCAAAGAATGGGAATTTCAGAAGTATGACACTGTTTTCCATCATTGTGCAAATAACACACCGGTGTTACCTAACTCAGATCTTTCAGTACTGTTGTCTATCCATTGTCTAGCCATGGTGAGAGCCAATTGTTCAATTTATTTATTTTTTATTTATTTCTTCAAATTTATACCCCGCCCTCCCCGCAAGCGGGCTCAGGGCGGCTTCCAATAAAATACCAGTTACTTTACATTAAAATACATAATATACAAAATACAAATACCATAAAACATTATAAATACAAAGTGCAGGCGGCAGATTAAAATTCATTTCGATAATAAGTTGCAGAATCACTTGCCATTGCCCTGATGTCCACTAATGGCTTCTGTCATCAAGCCATCTCGTTGTTACTCCACAGGCCGTGTTGATGTAATGGTCTGCAGTAACCTGCAGTGCCATGAGCCTATAACAGCGGCGGCCCCTACTTAAATGCCTGGCGGAAGAGCTCCGTCTTGCAGGCCCTGCGGAACTGTAAAAGATCCCGCAGGGCCCTGATCTCCTCCGGGAGCTCGTTCCACCAGGTCGGGGCCGCCACTGAAAAGGCTCCAGCCCTGGTGATGGCTAACTTAACCTCCCTCGGGCCAGGGATGGTCAACAGATTTTGCGACCCCGACCGTAGTGCTCTCTGGGGTATATACGGGGAAAGGCGGTCCCGAAGGTATGTTGGACCCCGGCCATAAAGGGCTTTAAAGGTAAGCACCAGCACCTTGAAGCAGACTCGGTATGCTATAGGCAGCCAGTGCAGTGTCCTCAGCACAGGCTGGATGTGCTCTCGTCTAGGGAGATCCATCAACAGCCTGGCTGCGGCATTCTGCACCAGCTGCAGCTTCCGGGTCCGAGACAAGGGCAGCCCCAAGTAGAGAGCGTTACAGTAGTCTAGTCTCGAGGTG